TAATGAAAAGAAGGACCGGGGGAGACATGGCAGCAGTCTTCCAATACCTCAGGGGCTGCCACAAAGAAGAGGAAGTCAAGCTATTTTCCAAAGCCCCCTGAGGGCAGGACAAAAAGCAATGGATGGAAGCTAATCAAGGAGAGAAGCAACTTAGAACTAAGGAGGAATTTCCTGTCAGAATTGGTGGAACAGTTTGCCTCCAGAAGTTGTGAATGCTCCAACACTTGAAGTTTTTAAGAAGAGATTGGACAACCATTTGTCTGAAATGGTCTTTCCTGCCTGAGCAGGGGGTTGGACTAGAAGATCTTCTACGCCCCTTCCATCTCTTATTTTGTTATTCTGCTACTTACGACTGGCTAGGGCAGTGAAGGCGAACCTTTTTGTTGTGGTGTACCGAAAGCGTGCGCCGGCACCCACATTGCAAGGCACCCCCCCTGCACATGCACACGCAGCACCCTTGCCCCGCCCCCTTACCTGCACTGCACATGCGCGTGCCTTCCCGCTGATTTTTGGCCCGTTTGAGGCCGTTTTCGCTCTCCCGGAAGCTCAAGAGAAGCTTCTGCAGCCTCGGGAGGCTGAAAACGGGCCTATTTTGGCACTTCCGGTATTTCCGGAAGGCCCATTTTTCGGTCTCTCCCAAGACTTCAGAGGTTTCTCTCAAGCCTCCAGGAGGGTGAAAATGGCCTCAAACCGGCCAAAAATAAGCTGGGAGGCACGTGCATGCACAGTGCAGGTAAGTTTGGCTGGGACTCGCGTACCCGCAAAAACGGCTCTGCGTGCCACCTGTGGCACGTGTGCCATAGGTTCACCATCACGGAGCTAGGGAATTCTGAGAGTTGAAGTCCACAAGTCTTCAAGTTGCCGTGTTTGGAGACTCCTGGTCTAGGAGATCACTTGGAAAGCCCCTAAAGATTTCCACATTTTATTTATAAGGAAAAATCCTAGCATCGGGAGTAAATTGTTAAACAGTTGGATCAACTATCCAGAATGGTGGTGGATTCATTTTCACTGATTTGAACCCATAGCTGCTGGCAGAATATCTGCAAATGGACTATTTCAGCTTGGATTCCTGCACAGAAGTGGGATTGGATTTGATGACTCTTTCTCCATTTTTTTCTATGATTGTATACCAGAGATGCATTATATAAATATTCTCAGTGAAATTGTTAACGCAGCAGAACTGGAGGCCCATCTGACCTAGAATCTGTACAGAAAGTAAAGATTCAAATTTGTGAAATCAAATTAAACATTTGGCCGCATTTCTGTGCCGCAAACTGTACAGAAAGTTTTCTGCAGACATCCCTTGTCTGAGCTGGTTGTGTTTCTCCATCATCTTGCTCAATAAAAACCAACCTTTCATTTTATACTATTTGTATAGACATTTATGAGATAGGAAATAAACTGAAATGAAAACTGCTTGAATCCCTAGTATCGGTTTTGTCTTTTTCGCTGTAGCTGTACAACTGGGTCAGGTTTTCCGTCACGCTGCCCATCAGGACTTATTTTATATTTCCAGGGAGTCCTTGACTTATGACTGATTGTTTAACAATCATTCAAAGTTACACTGGTGCTGAAAAAAGTAACTTATGACCCAGTTTCACACTTGAAGACTTCACAGTGTCCATCATGCCCCTGTTGGGAGTCTGAATCCAAGGAAGAAGACGAACAGTTGACAGGGAGTGGGAGTATGGCTCCGTTGGCTGTGGAGGAAACCTGGGAAGGGCAAAGTCCGGCTGGGCAGAGCAAGGAAGGGGTAGAACAAGGGAGAGGGAGTTCAGAGGAAAACCAAGCCCTACCCCCTCTTCATCCTAGGGCAGGCAGGGAGGAACAGAGAAGAGAGCAACGTGGGTCATGTGATTTACGGGGGAGGAAAGGGCCCTGATTCCCTTCATTAGCCACAGTTGGGAAGAACGTTTATAAGAAATGCAGGCTGTGTGCGGCAGCTGCTGGGAGCAAATGTGACTTTGCTTATCTGTGTTCCTGGCTCTTCCCAATCATGTGAGTTTTGCCATGCCTTCATGTCTGGAAGTCTTGCTCCTGCCCTGTCAAACTAATTACCTCAGTTTGGTTTGACTGGGCTTAAAGTTACAGTTTATGTTGACCATGTTTTGGACTTGATTCTGCAGTTAAAGGCTGTTCCTGGGAGAGTTTTTCTCCAGCCAGAAGGTAATCTGGACACTGGAGGCAAAGTTGGAGCTACTAAAGGTACTCTTATTGATTATCTGACTGTGTTGCCTTTGCGCCATGCTCCGGGTCATCACAGTCCCCCATAGTTCTATGGTCGCAATTCAGGCATTTGACAAATGGCATTTATTTATGGTTTGCTCAATAGCGAATGTAGAAAATGGTACATTGATACCAAAGGAGATGGACCATTAGGGGCAGAAAGTCTCCTTGGAGTGGGGGTGGGTGGGGACAGGAAACTCCTGTAGTCCAGCCCAGCCCAATTCATCCCAAACCCCAAAGGACTATATTTAAGTTTTTGACTTGCAACTATAATTGAGCCTAGAATTAAGGCCATAAATTGTGCTGGTGCTTAAATGGGTCATTACATCACCAACCAGATTTTATGACATTTGTGACTTATTTAGCGAACCCTGTGATTGGAGCTGTGGTAGCGCAGTATTTGCAGGCTAACTCTGCCGACTTGCCCGCAGTTCGATTCTGACCAGCTAAAGGTTGAGTCAGCCTTCCATCCCTCTGAGATCATCAGTAAAATGAAGACCGAGTATTCTGACCCAGGCTTCGTGAAACGTAATTAATATCAAACTTGTTTTAAAAGCAAAACCTATTTTATTGCAACTCTGGGAATTGTTTTCCTTCCCAGCCAGAACTAATCTTAAATAGTTCCCCGAAATAAGCACACACCTTTCAGTGCTGTGGAATGCTGCCAAAAACTATCCAATTAACTATAACAGAAACCAATCAAAGTACCAGAAAAACCCAACCAGAGCTTCAAGGAGACTCGGAATCTATCAAACTACTTTGCTTCCTGCAAAGGTTTCATCATTGAGGTCTGACTTTTATCCCTTCATGGTGCTTTACAGCCCTCTCTAAGCCCTTTCTATAGAATAGAATAGAATAGAATTTTTTATTGGCCAAGTTTAGTTGGACACACAAGGAATTTGTCTTGGTGCAAATACTCTCAGTATAGAGTCAACATATCCCCCTCCCCCTCTGACAATCTGGGTCCTCATTTTACCGACCTCGGAAGGATGGAAGGCTGAGTCAACTTTGACCCGGTCAGAATCGAATTGCTGACAGCGGGCAGAGTCAGCCTGCCATATTGCATTCTCCCCACGGTTAATCCATTTTTCACTAAAGTTCTTAGGAAGATGGCTTTGTACTTATTTGTGTTTGGCGGAGCTTTAATCAAATTACAAAACTGTTCAGGTTATGAGGGAGTTTTGGATATATTGTTGCCAATCTTGATGGAGGTATATGCCATCTATACAATAATTTATACAAATTTTCTTCGAACGGTGTGGCCAAAGACGTTTTTTTAAAATATTTGCCAATTGTCTAAATTAATATCATAACCAAAATTCTTCATCCATACCACCATTGTTTCCTTTACTTTTTCCTCTTCTAAGGTTTTCCAACTTTCTGATCGTCTAAAGAGGGTACTTACTCCCTGTTTTTGGCACATCTCCATTTGGAAAATAGGAAATATTTTCCCTCACAAACCCAGGATAAGTGGTTGTTGTTTTTTTAATTCAAACATTTCAGTCTGGAAGATGTTTCTTCTAGGGCAAGTTTCAACTCTGCCACTCTGAGGAAGCAGATCAGGACTCTTTCCCCAAACCTGATGAAATGGACGATGGGCTTCGTAGTTGAAGTGCTGCTGTCGGAACTACAAAGCAGGGAAGTGAAGCTGAGAAGTAGGAGAGAGAGGGGGGGAGGGAGAGAAAGGGGGGGAAGGGAGAGGGAAGAGAAGTAGGAGGGGGGAGAGAGAAGGGGAAGAAAGAGAGAAAGTGGGGAGAGAGAGAGGAGAGAGAAAAGGGGGAGAGAGGAGAAAGGGGGAAAGGGAGTGGGGAGAGAGGAGAGGGAAGGGGAGAGAGGGAGAGGGAAAGGGGAGGGAGAGAGAGAAAAGGGGGAGAGGAAGGGGAGGAGGGAGAGGGGAGAAGAGAGGAAGAGTGGGGGGAGGAGAGGAGAGAGAAAAGGGGGAGAGAAGAGAAAGGGGGAAAGAGGGAGTGGGGAGAGAGGAGAGGGAGGGAGAGTGAAGAGGGAGAGAAGGAAAGGGGAGGGAGAGAGAGAAAGGGGGGAGAGAGGAGAGGAGAGAGAAGGAGGGGGGAGAGAAAGGCAATGGCTCCTTAGATTATAGATAAGGCAACACACAGCATTATAGTCCGGTGTGCAAACTCTCCTCTTAAAACCCTCCAGTGTTGGAGCACCCACAATTTCTGAAGGAAAGTTGTTCCACTGGTTAATTGTTGCAATTTCTCCAATTGTTAATTGGGGAAACTTCTTAGTTCTAGGTTGGATCTCTCCTCGATTAGGATCCAGCCATTGTTTCTTCTTCTGCCTTGGGGGCTTTGGAGAATTCTTTGTGGCTGCCCGTTTGAAACGCAGCTATTGTGTCACCCCTAATCTGCCATAATAAACAGACAACAGACAAACAGGGCTGACCCTATTCGGGAACTGGTTGGGAGGCCACCCAGAAATCCACTTCAGGGTTATTAGGGTTGAGCAGCTTTCTCCAAACCTGATCCAAATCTCCTGAGTGAGGTTGGAGGCTGGACTAGAAGATCTCCAGGGTCCCTTCCAGCTCTACTCAAATCTGATACAAACCTCCTGCGTGAGGAGGGGGCTGGACTAGAAGATCTCCAAGGTCCCTTCCAGCTCTACTCGTTGATGGATTGATGCCACGGCCCAGCCTCTCCGTCGCCCGGCCGGTCCGAGACCGCTGCGGGGAATAAAGCAGAGCCGCGGCCGGTCGGGAGGGGGCGCCCGCGGGCTCCCTTCCGCCGATCCAGCGGCGGAGCGTCAAGGCGAAGCGAGGCGGGGATTGATGGGCGCAGCTGCGGCGGCGGAGGGGAGAGGAGCCGCGCGGGTCCCGCCGCTGCCGGTACGGACCGGGGGTTTGGCTGGCGGGTGTGGGTGTGGGTGTGCTACCTAGAGACCTCCAGCCTTGCAATTCTGGGCGGGGAAGGCGGAGGTTTGCTCCGGAGCTGCGGAAAACCGTTGCACCGGGAGGCCTCCTCCCCGGGGATCCCGCGGGTCCCCCTATTCGGATCATCCCCGAACCCAAAGGAGCCTGGGCGGGTTGCGTTGCGTTGCATTGCATTTATTTGCATTGCATTGCATTTATTTGCTTTGCATTGCATTGCACCCCGTGGCATTGAGGTGCGCGCCTCGTTTGCTTTTCCAGCTCAGCGGTGCAGGCCGGGGTCTCGTCGGCCTGGGGAACGCGTGTTTTTCTGCGGTGCAAAGAAGGGAGATTTGCCCCCCCTCCCTTTTTTTCTATCCGTCTTTCCTGCGGGCTCCGTGGAGCTCTTGCTGGGGAGAGATAAAGGGGACCGGCCGTTTCGCGCTTCCCTTATCCTCCGTGGCCCCGAATAAAGATGCAGAGAAAGAGATTTTAATCTGACTGTTCGTGCCCTTCATCGGGGGATCCGCCGACAGTTCGTATGATTTCACCCTGTGAAAATACAAGGCCGCTTCGATTTGCAAAAGTAGGAGCTTTGCAATAAGAAGAGAGCATCCCTAACTCCAGGTTAAACTTTTGGGATCCTTGATATTCTCTGAGGTGGTGGTGGTTTGCTTGCAAACGTCTCATTACCTGACTAGGTAATATCATCAGTTCAGACTGTTCATACAAGGTCCTCGAGCAAGGGCTTTCAAACTTGGCAAGTTTAAGACTTTTGAAGGCTTCAACTCCCAGAATTTTCCAGCCAGCTATTCCCAGAATTCTGGGAACTGAAGCCTACAAGTCTTAAAGTTGCCAAGTTTAGAGACCTCTCTCCTAGACTGAGCAAGGGGCCTTCAGAGTTGGCAAGTTTAAGACTTGTGGGCTTCAACTCCCAGAATTCCTAAGCTAACATGACTGGAGGAGGAATTCTGGGAGTTGAAGTCCACAAGTCTTAAAGCTATCACGTTTGAAGACCCCTGTCCTAGAGCACCAAGGACTCAGAGAAGACAGCCTAGCGTTTAAACTCCCAAAAGTGCTTTTTTCCAAAAGGCAACTGGACTTTCTTGTTTCTTTGTTTTTCCTTAAAAATGTTTGACTTCACATCCAAGAAGTTTCTTCAGTTCCTCCTTAAATGAGAACATTTTCAAAGGAAAGAAAACCCACAGAGATCCAGTTGCCTTTTGGAGAAAAATATCCAATGGATGATTGAGAATCTCTATAGAACCCCTAGATTTTAAAGTTCTGAATGTTTTTAAATTCGATTATTCTTTTATAGTCTTTCTATATTTTGTGGGGTAACTGAATGGGGCTTGTTAGCTTATTGGTGAGACTTCTTTCAGATAGATTGGGGAATGGATTGAAAAGCAGCGAAGATCTCATTTTAACACAGACAAGAAGGAGGGAAGACAGTTATCTGTTTTCTTATTTTTATTAAGTAATAATTTCAGAATATGATAGGACCTGGAAACATTGCGTTCCCTTAACAATATTTTGGTGAAAATAATCTAATTTGAAAATGGTTTAAATTTTAGATCTACGAAGGTCTTCAGAAGAGAAAGAACTGCTAGTGAACAAGAGAGTAGCTCCAGAAGTAAAGGAGAGTCAACAAGGAGTTGAGTTTTGCAGTTCAAACTTCTAAACAACCGGGATGTGGCTCATTTGAGAGGAACGAGAAGTCCCCGTTCGTTGGGATGGAGGAGCGCTGGGAGACACAATGGCAGCAGTTCCTCAAGACACTGCAACCGGTTCACCCAGGAGGTGACAAGTCCAAGATGTCGGAAGCTTCTCCCTGGGAAGACCCCAAGGTCTTCCTGGCCTCCTTCGAGCAGGTGGCCCAAGCCTGTCAGTGGCCCAGAGAAGAGTGGGTGGCTTGTCTCCTGCCAGCCTTGAGCGGAGGAGCCGAAGTGGCCTTTCAGAAGCTGGAAATGGGAGAACGGGAGAACTATGGGAAGGTGAAGGCCGCCATCTTGAAAGGGGAAGCCACCAAAATGGAGGCCCGGCGTCAGCGCTTCAGGCAGTTCTCCTGCCAGGAGGTGGAAGATCCTCGGATGGTTTACAAGCAGATCCAGGAACTTTGCCACCAGTGGTTGAAGCCGGAGAGACGCACCAAAGAGCAGATCTTGGAGCTGCTGATCCTGGAGCAGTTCCTGGCCAGCCTGCCTTCAAAGCTCCAGAGCTGGGTTCAACCCAGGAGGCCGGACACGTGTTCCCAAGCGGTGGCTCTGGTGGAGGACTTCCTGCGGAGTCAGAAAGGGACCAAATTGGAAGCATGTCAGGTATGATTTGTTGATATCAGTCTTGGTCTTTTCACGATTCAAATGGGTGCTAGAAACACTTAGAATTCTTACGGAGAATGATGTAGTTCTATTTTGAGTTCTAGTGATTATGAGGATTGTAAACACTACCGCCAATGTTTCTGAAGTTCAGTTGATGGCTAATTCTTCCAAGTCCTTTTTCGTTCAGTCAAAATCATTATTGTTGTTATTTCCTGTAATTTAAGACTCATATAACAGAATAACAGACTTGGAAGGGACCTTGAAGGTCTTCTAGTCCAACCCACTGCTTAGTCAGGAAACCCTACCCCACTTCAGACAAATGGCTGTCCAATCTCTTCTTAAAAACTTCCAGTGTTGGAGCGTTCACAACTTCTGGAGGCAAATTGTTCCACTATTTAATGGCTGTAATTGTCAGGAAATTTCTCCTTAGTTCTGAGTTGTTTCTCTCCTTGATTTGTTTCCACCCATTGCTTCTTGTCCTGCCCTCAGGGCCTTTGGAGAATAGCTTGACTCCCTCTTCTTTGTGGCAACCCCTGAGATATTGGAACACTGCTATCCTGTCACCCTGGTCCTTTTTTTTTCATTTAACTAGACATCCCCAATTCCAGCGAACATATTTATATATGTTTTAGCTTCCAGTCCCCTAATCATCCTTGTTGCTCTTCTCTGCACTCTTTCTAGAGTCTCAACATCTTTTTTACATGGTGGCGACCAAAACTGGATGCAGTATTCCAAGTGTGGCCTTTTATGTAGTTATGTGTTCTCTTTCTTAATTAATTTGACCCAATGACATCAATATATTGATTACGTATTAAGACACATCCACAAAATTTTCTTTAAAACTGAACGGAAGTGACTACATGATCTTTTTTGTGGGATTTCCTGATAATCTATCTATTCACCCGTGCTTAACTTCAGAACTTAAACACGGTGCTACCAACAGCACACGTAGACTGGGTGAAACCAGGCTTAGTAGCGGTAACTGAGAGGGATCTTGGAGTCTTTGTGGACAACCCATTAAATATGAGCCAACAGTGTGCGGTGGCAGCCAAAAAAGTCAATGCATTAATAAGTTGCATTAACAGAGGGGTACAATCAAAATCAAGTGAAGTATTAATACCACTCTAGAGTAGACCACATCTAGAGTACGGCATCCAGTTTTGGTCACCATACTATAGAAAAAGATGTTGAGACTTTAGAAAAAAGTGCAGAGAAGACCAACCAGGATGATTAAGGGACTGGAAGCTAAAACATATGAAGAACGGTCACAGGAACTGGGCATGGCTAGTCTAGTAAAGAGAAGGACCAGGGGAGACAGGATAGCGGTCTTCCAATATTTGAGGGGCTGCTACAGAGAGAAAGGGGTCAAGCTATTTTCTAAAGCGCCTATAGGCCAGACAAGGAATAACGGATGGAAACTGAACAAGGAGAGATTTAACCTGGAAATAAGGAGAAACTTTCTGACAGTGAGAACAATCAACCAATGGAACAGAAGTTGCCTTCAGAAGTTGTGGGAGCTTCATCCCTGGAGGCTTTCAAGAAGAGATTGGACTGCTATTTATCAGAAAGGATCTGACTAACTTTGTTAATCTGTAAAGTTCTGTACAGGTGTTCCTTGACTCACAGCCATTTATATCACGATTGTTCATACTTAACAATGGTATTCAAAAAAGTGACTTGCAATGGGGGCTTGCCCGTATGAGCCGTGCAGTATTTCCATGGTAACATGATCAAAATTCAGGAACTTGGCAACCAGCCTGTGTTTACAACAGGCGCATGTCCTTAGGTCACAGGATCTCCATTTGTGACCCTTCCCGGCAAGCTTCAAGTCAATGAAGGGAGTGAACTGAGTCTTTGGATCCACTTAACAACTGCAGTGATTCACTTACAACAATGGTGTCAAACTTGATTTTGTTGAGGGCCGCCTCAGGGTTGTGCTTGATCTCGGAGGGCATGGCGTGGCTGGGGGAGGACGTGGCCATCTTGACATCACTCGTATCATGGACACCTGCGGTGGCCCAAACACTCTGCCAGTGAAAATGGGCTCCCGTGTTCCATTTTCGGCTGGGACTGTGTCCTGCAACCCTCTGCCAGCGAAAACGGAGCTCAGGGGGGCACTCCATTTTCGGTTGAGATGGCTTCCTGCAACTCTCCATCAGTGAAAACGGAGCTTCGTTTTTGCTGTCAGAGGCACCGCGGTCCGGTCTTTCGTTGTTTCTAGGGCAGCCCCGTGGATCAGATCTAAGAACCCAGCTTGCAGTTTGACACCCTTGATCTATTCCTGAACAGATTCCTGTTTTTGGCACAATGAATCCTGTTGTTCTGAGTAGGACTTGCCTTCCCTGTTTCAGGGGCCACCAAATGAAGAACCTGCCAATTTCGAATGTGCGGAGAAGGAGCCTTTAGAAGCCGTGAAGGGAGAAAATGTCGAAGTGGAGATCGGTATGCTGGGTAAGAATGCCCTAGGAACGGGCAAACACCAAATCCCTTCTGCATTGTGGGATGCTTAAACTGAGGGCAGATTTCTTGACCTCGACAAGTTTCCTGGAAAGAACAAATTTTGATAAATGCAATAAGTTAGGTGGATCACCAAATCTGGAATGGCCAAATTCTGAAGGAACAATGTTCGGCATGGCTATAAGATACGCTTAGTATGCTGTTTCTTTTTTTCAATCTCAGCAGCAGTTTTAAGATGTCTGGACTTCAACTTTTCCCCAGTGGAATTCTGGGAACGGAAGTCCACACATTTAAGAGTTGCCAAAGTTGAAAAATGTCAACCGAGAAGATCTCATGGCAGTTGTACAATAAAACACAATAAAAAAACGCAAATTGTAAGAAAATCACAAAACACAACTGGAAACAGTAAATAAGAGCTTTATTATTAAGCTTTTGCAAAAGGGAATTCTGCTCATAGCAGAGGACATCTTTCCCAGGATGGCTGGGGAATATATATATACAGGTTCAAATATACAATCTCTGCCCCTTTCCTGGGTTCACAATCTATCCAACTACGTAATTCCCTACGCCACACCCATAGCGTATCACCTGTTTCCCTTTCTTTGGAAACCACCCTTGTTCTCATGGCATCTTCCTGTTATGTTCTTCTGAACACAATGGATCATTAACCAGTTCCATTCAGGTCAAAATGACCCTAGCATCTCTTACATTAATTCTCAAACCAAAATATAAACCCCCATGTTCCAGTCAAAAACCTGACATTTACTTTAGAACATAACGCGTTACAAAACATGATATGCTTATATAAGTGTTCAAATATCTTTCTAGAAGGTCACATTACGAACAAAAATGGAGTCTCTTTGGTTCTATACTTTCTTAGGTATAACAGGCAAATACATATGTTATTTCCACATATAACACAAATACCCCCTCCCCCCAAAATGGAAGCGTAGTTTGATAACAATCTTGCTACCACTTACTTCATTGTTTACAGTGGCTGATCAGTTTCCAAGGGGAAGACCTATGTGGGACACATTGTAGTAATTCAGACAGGTGGTGGCCAGAGCAAGGATTATAGAGCCAGGCCATTTTTGTCCTGGAAGGGTTTTAGCTGCCCATGGGACACAGTGGGAATTTGTGGTTTGGCATTAAAGACAGCTCTCTCTAACTTTTATACTTTGTACTGTTGAATTTTACTTGAGTTAACGAGTTATATGTTTTTAATAGGTTTTATCAGGTGTAATATAAGTACCAAGCGACATGGTGGCTTGCAGTCACAATTGAGCCCAAAATGCATGTTGTGAAGTGAGAAATATATTAAGTGAGTTTTGCCCCCTTTTATGATTTTCGTGAGGGACGTGGTGGCTCAGTGGCTAAGACACTGAGCTTGTCGATCAGAAAGGTTGGCAGTTCGGTGGCTCGAATCCCTAGTGCAGTATAATGGAGTGAGCTCCCATTACTTGTCTCAGCTTCTGCTAACCTAGCAGATCAAAAGCATGTATAAAAATGCAAGTAGAAAAATAGTGGTGGGACGGTAACAGCATTCCGTGCGCCTTTGGTGTTTAGTCATGCTGGCCACATGACCACGGAGACGTCTTCAGACAGCACTGGCTCTTCGGCTTTGTAACGGAGATGAGCACCAGCGCCCCCTAGAGCCGGAAACGACTAGCACGTATGTGTGAGGGGAACGTTTATCTTTACCTTCTAAGTACCACCTTGATTGTAAAATGGTTGTCTTTGACATACAAATGTTTATTTAGCCACCATTCAAATTTGAGCGAAACTAAAAAAGGTGATTTATGACCGATCCCCACAATTACGATTGTCACAGCATCTCCGCTGTCCCATAATCAAAATTCACCTCATATATTTACAACAGTTAAATGCCACATATCTTTCGGTTGCCGAGGTTGAAAAACACTGGTTTAGCGGAAGCCTGATTTGGATCAGAAACCATCGCTTTAAGTATTTATTTATTTTCCTGATTTGATCGGTATTTTCTGTAAGAATCTTGCAATAACCTTGGTAAGAGCGGAACTCCTTGATCAAATGTCAAGGCATATTTCAGTCAGAGGTTTCAGGCCCAATCTATGTAGGAAGGAGGGTATATCCTGTCCACCTTGAAAAGGAATTAGATTGGTATATGTAGGGGGGAAAAACTGTTTCTAAAACTGGGAAAAAGCAGTTTCTAAAATAGAAACGAAAGAGGGTGGCAAGAGAGGCAATTTCTCACCATTGTTCAGTTTCAAAATTCCTTCTGCAAAGATTGGTGGTTTTCAGTGGAGATTCTCCATCATCCATGTCATGGGTGTCCCAAAGGTGCTTTTTTTCAAGAGGCAACTGGACTTTCTGGTTTTTCTTTGAAGACCTTTCTCTTCTCATCCGAAAAGCTTCTTCAGCTCTGACTGGATGGTGAGGAATGGAAGAAGTCATAACTGCTCTCAGACAGCTGGTCATTTGCATTCTTTTAGTGAATCGTTAAGGCCATCTGGAGGTTTATCTATGTCATCAACAGAGGGGGAGAGATACGACATCATCTGTCTCCAATCTACAAGACAATCCTTTCAACAGTTCCAAGAAGCTCACACATCCATTTGTGTTAGGGATACACCCTATCAGAATCTGCACGGCAGTCAGGCAGGCAGGCAAAATATGTGAGATAAATGTTTTTGTAGCTTACACTCAGTAAAACAGATACACAGTGCTAGTTAAATAGTTTATTCCAGTAAGAGTTATAGCATAGTCAAACAGTCCGTATATCATTCACTAATTCAGTCCGTCCGGGGATTATTCAGTTGCAAATTCCAGTGTCGAAAAAGAGAGGTCAGTAAACTTACAAATATCAGTCCAGTAATATATCTCCTCGCAGTAGAGATATGAAGAAGTCAAACCTCCTTTCTTCCTCCAACGTTCAGCAACTCAGCAGTAGGGAAACACGCAGTTAACAAACCATCAATCCATCAAACCGGTAATCGTCAGCAAGCAATCCAGCAGGTTCTCTTGCTCCCTCTTATGGTGGTTTCATACCGCACCCAAAATTACATGCTTTGCAGTTTAAAGTGACACACACTTAAACTTACTATCATAGTTTATATATATATTATTTTTACCCCAACTACGTTAGATAACCTATGTTATTCCTAACAATTTGCACCCACTCAGGTGACCCTGAGGACACAGATAAACCTCCAGGTGACCTTAACGATTCACTAAAAGAATACAAATGACCAACTGTCTGCGAGGAGTATAAATCCTTCCATTCCCCGCCATCCAGTCAGAGCTGAAGAAGCGTCTTGGATGAGAAGCGAAAGGTCTTCAAAGAAAAACCAGAAAGTCCAGTTGCCTCTTGAAAAAAGCACCTTTGGGACATTCTTCCTGGTTCACAACACAACGGGCCCTTGTGGGCAGCTGTGTGTCCAGCTGCTTAAGTTGACACCTTCTTATTGTAATGTCTTCTTTTCACATCCTGCAGGACCTGGAATTGAATTGCCAGATGCTCCCGGTTCATTGCTTCCTTCCGAAAGATTAGGGATGGTCCAAACTGCTTGGAGAGAGGTAGGTGTGCCCTGCACCAGACTGGAGTGATGGTGTGTGTGTCGGGGTGGGATGCTACCGGTTCTGGCCGGTTCTAAAGAACCGGTAGCTCTGAAGAGCAACAGACACCAAACCGGTTCTGTGTTTGCTGCTGTTTGGCCCACCCGCCTGCCTGGGCTCCTACCTGTCCTTTATTTCCTGCTTGTTCAACCTCCGCTGCTTTGCGCAGCACAGCGGAGCTTGAAAAAGCAGGGGGAAAAGAGGCTTTTCAAATGCTGCGCTCCTGCGTGCAGTGCTTTTTAGCTGTCCGGGCAGCACAGCCTAAGGTTTTACACATGCGCGCAGCATGTAGTCACCGTACCAGTAGTAACACCGGTTGAATCCTGTTATGATATGTAGAGAATAACCCTTGAGTAACAAGGATATGCACATGGAAACATTTATGAGAATAGTTATGAATAATTATCCAGCCACACACACAGATACACTAAATTGAGTTAAAGTTTACTTTAAGAAATAGCACAGTCCAATAAACGGTCCAGGTCATATATGTTTAACAGTCCAAAGAATATCCAATTACAGAGTCTTCTTTCCGGTTGCCTAAACAAAGATATCAAAGTATAAGCACAGCAGAGAACCTTAGATAGCAACAGAATGTTAGAGATACAGAATGTCAGAGAGAGCAAGCCATGATCTCTAGCTCCCTCTTATGGCAATTCACAATACAATCAACCAATCGGAACATAGTACAAATCAACACAGTAACTTTGTCTTAAAGCTACAAACATACATTGTTGGTTTATATATTGCCAGCCCAACTCATTGGTGGACAGAGTCCACAGATCCTGTGTGTATGTAATATTAGCATGAGAAGGGCACCGTGGCTCAGCATTTAAAGACGCTGAGCTTGTCACCTGGGAAAATTTTGTTAGGGATACACCCTAGCAGAATGTGCACCGCAGTCAGGCAGGCAGGCAAAATATGTGAGATAAACGTTTTTGTAGCTTACACTCAGTAAAACAGATACACTGTGCTAGTTAAATAGTTTATTCCAGTAAGAGTTATAGCATAGTCAAACAGTCCATATATCATTCACTAATTCAGTCCGTCCGGGGATTATTCAGTTGCAAATTCCAGTGTCGAAAAAGAGAGGTCAGTAAACTTACAAATATCAGTCCAGTAATATATCTCCTCGCAGTAGAGATATGAAGAAGTCAAACCTCCTTTCTTCCTTCGATGTTCAAAAACTCAGCAGCAGGGAACATGCAGTTAGCAAACCATCAATCCAGCAAAACCAGCAGGTTCTCTTGCTCCCTCTTATGGCGGTTTCACAACCGCACCCAAAATTACATGCTTTGCAGTTTAAAGTGACACACACTTACACTTACTATCATAGTTTATATATATTATTTTACCCAAATTACGTTAGGTAACCTTGTTATTCCTAACAGATTTTGATC